CTCACTAGAACCTTTGCTATAATCTTAACCAAAAAGGAAGATTTGAAACTATGTGATTGTTAGACAGATTGTCATTGCCAAGTGGTGGTATTGTTATGCTGGAGAGTGATGGAGGCAATCACAGACCACACTGAAACTAATGGCTATGCTAGGTACCATTCATTCAGGCTAAACGGAATAAGCAATTAAGCTCCTTTGTTGAGTATATATATATAGCTGAAATAACTGAAACTACCGCCCAAGGTTCTGAGCCACATGGAAAGACCTGAGCAAGAACTAACTCAGGAAGAATAAGAATTCCCTGGGATTGATTGAAAACACCGGGGCTGGGCATTGATTGGGAGCCGATATCTATTTTGTCTGGTTTCTCATTTTGGTATTTGGATTGATTCTGTTCTAACAGAGGGGCCAAGTTAATTTTCACCATGAATCTGTCTTTCTAAAAAAGGCCTTACTGCTAGAGATGCACCAAAAATGCCTCAGAAAAACTAGAAGCTGATGAGTAATCTTGGATTGGAGACAGCACCTAGTTGGTAGCTGGGACACTAGACTGGGAGTTGGGAGATCAGGATTCTCTTCCTGGCTCTGACACTGACTTGCTTTGTGGCCTTGGACAAATCCCTTCTTTTCTCTTTGCCTCTGTTTCCCCTCACTTTGTCTATTTTGACTGTAATCTCTTTGGGATAGGGATTGTTTCTAATTACATGTTTGCATGCCTATCACAATGGGCCCTGACCTCAGTTGGGTAGTTAAATGCTATCACAGTATAAATGTTTGATGGATAGCCACTCCCAATTGAAACGATATTCAAATGCACCATCTCAGAAAAGTGTTTTAATGTCAGCCAGCATGGATTTGGGCAGAATGGTGATATCACTTCCGGAAGCATGTGGCACAATTCAGCTCCGAGTTAGTGGGTGCTATTCCAACTGCAGGGAAGGGAAAGAATGTGGCCCACGTTCTTCTACATGTAACACGGCCAGGAGTGACTTATGTATATTGCAGAGCTAATACACCCCAAACCAAGCCAGCATGTCAGAGGTGTCTGTTGATGGAGATGTGCAGGAAAATTAAAATCCTAGCTCATCTTCGCTAATGGCTTCAAACCAACTTTTCTTCTTCACAGCCAGCACTCTGGGCAGGACTCCCCACCTGAACATCTAGCCACCTGAATCTGCATTGCTGCTTAAGGCTCGTTCTTTTACTAATCACATGGCCAACGGGAAAACATTTGCTCCTGTGAGCATCCCCCTTTGACAGTCCTAGAGGGAACAATTTTTGACAAGCTGCCCCTCCCCTTCCCAGACTGACATGCCTGACGCACCTGTTCTTGTGGGCAGCGCAGTGACACAAAAAGAAGCCAAAGCCACACGGGGATCCAGCAGCAATGAGGAGGCAGAGGTTTGAAAGCGAGGTTGGCTGGTTTGCAGGATGAGAGAAGAGCTGTGCCTGCAAAAGGAAGTAGATTTTTTTTTTTTTACTGAAGATTATGTTCCTGGTTAATATTTAAAAGCTAAGAGACTGAACAACTGAAAGACAGTGATCGTGTTTTCCTGGGAACCAGGAATCTGCTCCCGTGTTCCTGTCCATTTTACAAAATACAGAATTTTGCCCTGGTTTTGGACTCCACTGCAGCTTGGAGACCTGAGCGAGCCACTGGCCTGCTGAGTGGGGCTAGCTAGCCCGTGTGCATCAGGAACCTTAGTGTGTCACATGTTGTCAACCTTCTGTCCCCTCACAGACCTCCCTGTGAGCCCCCCCCCCATCCTTCTCTCGACAGAAGTCCTTTGGACCAGGACTGCTCCACATGTAAAGTGCCAGAGAAGTGAGGTGGCTTGACAGAGGAGCATGAGGAGTGGGCCTACCCCCATCTCTCTGCCTTTCACACCCACTCCCCGATGCCCATGGAAATTGCCAACTCTTGCCCCCATGAACATGAATGATGAAAGGCTGGAATAAAGCTGACTCACTTTGCAGGATTGCTCATTCCAGATGAAATTTATCCCAAGACAGAAGGCCTGCCCATGTCCCTATATACCACCTAAGATGGCATTGATGCATAGGGTCTTGTGTAGGTTGTCTATGGGATTTAGAACACAGGGTTGTCTCTAACTAGACATTTCTGAGCGGAAGTTACTTGTTCCTGACAGCCTTGGAGTGCTGTTGTGACAAACTGCTTTTGATATCACCCCATAAAAACCTCAAGCAAAAGGAGAAGGCAGGTATGGGAAGGAAGGGTGGCTGGCTATGGGACTGGCAGAGAGCTCAAAAGATCTGGGTTGGATTCTGAGCTGACCTACAATAATCTTGGGTGAGTCATTCATTATTATCGGTATTACTGTATATTGCACTGGGCTCTGTACAAACACAGGACAAAAGACAGTCCCCACCCCAAAGAACTTGAAAGCAAAGTATAAGACAAGAGACAACAAATGGATACAAACAGATGCAGGAGTACAAGGAAAAAATTCACCAGCATGATAAGCAGTAGTCTCAGCAGCCTAGCTCGGCTCCCATTTAGTTACCTAAATAAATAGCCAGATTTTCAGAAGTGTTCAGTTTGCTGGGTATGGAGCAATTTTGAAAACTTGCCCATAAGTGTTACTGTGGGAGCTGCAGAGTGCAGAGTTCTTTTGAAAATCAGCTTTTTATGTAGGTGCAAAAATGGGAGCTAAGCGCTTTTCGAATTTGGTCCCCAGCAGGGGTCGTGAGCCATTGAAAACCTGGCCCTTAAGCTCTGTGCCTCAATTTCCCCACCTATAAAATGGGGATAACAATCTTCATGGGGCTGTTGTGGAGATAAATACATTAAATGTTTGTTGAGGCCCTAAGATACCAGGATGACATAGGCCATACAAATGCACAGAATAGATAACGCATAGGAAATCTCAAAGCACGTTATAGTCCAGAGGGCAGATTACTACCATGAACTACGGAAGCTGATCTGATAAATTATTGGCATCTTATCATTCAATCTGACAACTTTGTCCAATAAATTATTTGCAAACAAATATTTTTCATTATTTGAAGCACTCTGAAGATGGTTGAATAATATCTGGCAAATAATTTGTTTGACTGAATTTGTTGTTGAATTATTTGTGAATATATTTATTTCATTATTCCTACCCAGCTTTCCCCAGAGTGGATGTTAACCTGGGAGGTTCTGTTCCTGCATTGGTTAAAAAACCATATGGCTGATTGCCTATGGTGAAGGGTGAAACTGTTTGTTTGCAGCTCACATACCACTTATCTGCGAATGGAGAACTTTGCTGAAATGGGCTGCGGTTCAGGCTATATACACATCAATATGGCCATAAAGAAGTATGTTTAACTGTGTAGCTGGCTTGCTACTGACATGATATAAAGATGCTGGAGTAAATATAAATAAAATTCTGTCCTTTGCCAGAATCTGATAGAGCAATATAGAAACTCCCCCAGGATAAACAGCTGCATCGGAATAAGCTTGTTCATCCATCTTTCAGTGTTACATTTTAATTGTCTCTTCTTTAAATTTCTTAGCACTCTGTTTTAAATAATGCTAAGTGTTTCTAAATTATACATAGCCCTGCAAGCCTAATCATAATAAATTTTGCTTTAAGGAAAAGGTAAGTACAATAATGAAATATTAAAGTGCTCTACTTAAATATTACCATATTTGATTTTTTTAAGGACTTAGAGTTCAAGGTGGCCACATTAATTCATGCTGTAAAGAGACACTATCAAAGAGTTTACAGGCAAATACATATAGTCATGAGACTGTTGTAGCATAACATGGTCATAGCTAAAGGTTTGATCCTGCTCCCCTTGCAATCAATAGCAAAACGCCCATTGACTTCAATGGGAGTAGAATCAGCCCAAATATATGCATGCTTGGATGTCTGTTTTCCCCCGACCCATGCACTGAACTGTGATTAACGTTAAAGTGAGTAAGTTCAGCCCTAGGCATTTTTCTGCCTTGGGCAAACTTCAATATGCGTATCCTTTCTGTTCTAGCTCATCTTCGTTGCTTTTACTTTTTCCTCGAGTTATTTGCTTGCAAGGTTTTTAACTTTAAAGACAAATGATCCGATGTTTAAGGCATTAGACCATGATTCACGGGATCTGGGTTCAGTTTTCAGCTCCGCCACAGAGTCACTGCATGTCCTTGGGCAAGTTATTTAATCTCCCTGAGCCTCAGTTCCCCCATCTTTAAAATTGGGTTGATAATATTTCCTTTCTCCCATACTCTGTTTATCTTGTCCAGCCCAGAAGGGTATCCAGAGCTTCCCTCCCACAATGTCTCCCTCCCTCAAGCCAGGCAGAAGGTGGTAAGGGTGTACCTCCCCTATCCCATGGAGGCTGGGACCACTGGAGTTCAGCCTGGCACTTTGGAAGAAAAGGTCCTGTGCTGAGCAAAGCAACAATTAACTACCCAGCACCTGCAGGCCCAGGTAGCAGCAATGGGAGAATCCTGAAGCTGTGGGAGGGGCAAGTGGGATCCAGTGGGTGGAGATAGCTTTAACTAGGAAGGAAAGATAAAACCTAGGGGAGGTTGACAAGTGCAGTGAGACACAGAGGGAGCTGCAGCCTGGATGGAGGGTGGAAGGAAACATAACGGCAGTATGACTCTCAGACTAGGGGAGACAGCAGAAGAGCATTTAGACATGAGTGTAAGAGCTAGATATGGGGAGAATCTGCTTTATTTATTCTTCATCTCCTGTCCTAACTTGTTGCACTCAGCAACATTACACATTTGACTCGTTTCACCCCAGAGTTGGTTGTGTTTCCGTGGAATTTTGTGCGTAGTTGCTGTGTAAAATTTGTTCAGCTTGTGAAGCAATTATGGATCCTTTGGGATGAAAGACACTATGCGCATGTAAGCCAATCTTATTTCTCATTGCCAGAGCTTTCTATTTTCCCAAATCATGTCCTTTTAACACCGCTCTGAATGTTTTATTGATAAAAAGAACATAATAACTGATGTCTCCTTTTGCCTTTTCTAATTCCTTTTGTCTATTTAGGGACTTGATGGAAAGTCTTGTTGGCTTGTTCTTCCCTCGCTTGTGGGACAGCACTTCACATTTGGCAATGGGTCAAGAGGACTAAGGGGCATGTCTACTTCTGCTCATGCTTCTTAAAGCTGCCAAACCAGGACCAATGAAGATGTTCACCAGGCTGCAGGTGCTTGCCCTTGCTTTGCTCTGCAAAGGAGTTTTCCTTTCCCTAAGTGACCATAACTTTTTAAGAAAGGAAATTAAGATAGAAGGAGACTTAGTCTTAGGTGGTTTATTCCCAATTAATGAAAAAGGCACCGGGACGGAAGAATGTGGGAGAATCAATGAAGACCGAGGCATCCAGCGCTTGGAGGCTATGTTGTTTGCCATTGATGAAATCAACAGAGACAATTACTTGCTCCCAGGAATTAAGCTTGGAGTTCATATTTTGGACACATGTTCAAGGGATACATACGCGTTAGAACAGTCTCTGGAGTTTGTCAGGGCATCTTTGACTAAAGTGGACGAAGCGGAGTATATGTGCCCCGATGGATCTTATGCCATTCAAGAAAACATTCCGTTACTCATTGCAGGTGTCATAGGTGGTTCTTATAGCAGTGTCTCCATACAGGTAAGACATTTCAAAACTTACACCCTCCAGAGAGAACTATTCATCTTGAGCTTCCCTGAAAGAAAAACCTACTAAATATGGTACAGATCATGGGTCACATTTGTTCCTAGAACCAATGAATTTACACCAAGGATGAATCTAAACCAAATTGATTTTTTTTTAAATCTGCTATAACTTAAATATGGGTAGGCTGGGCTTTTCCTTTAGTGATGGTAGAACCTGTGGGAATTTGTGATGTTGAAAAAAATAGATAATATATTGTAAGATTTGACTTTACCAGAACTTTTTTGAATATCATGATTTTTTTAAAATTTCAATTCACACCACTTAAGCCAACAGAAGTTTGTCCACTGTCTTCAATGCTCATTTGATGAGATCTTATATCTAGAAGCCACAATTTTAATGGGTTCTAAATTTGCAGTCCTTTCCTTATTAATGTGTGTTGTTCATGACAAGAATGTGTTCAAATCTCTGCTGTGTATGAATGGGGAAGGTGTCTGAAGAGGTGCCTATAAGGCTAAACGTTATAAGAAGTCTGAGTACAGCTGATTAGGTTTTAGCTGAATTAGAGAAGAAACCCTGACTTTTTGTTTTGTACATCAAGTGAATGCAAAGAACAAATATTTTCCTCCATTTTTTACAGAGATTCTGTCTGCTCCTCTACCTATCTAGCATGTCTACAGCATCTATTGCCATAGGATCAGGGTGCTGAGACTTCTTCCAAGCATCTTCTAAAATGTTCATCTCTTGCCTTGGAATGCAATACCCACCACTATAAAAATCCTCTTGCATCTTTGGCGGAGGCTGATCTATTTTCAGTTCTTTTCTGCTGAACCATAATATACCCTCCTTATTCACAAATGAGCACTGTCTTACTCCTCGAACAGTCCCATCTAAACAGATGGGACAACTTGCCAGTAAGGTGCTACACACTGTATTATATCAGTATCAAACAGGACGAAATCCTGCCCCGTGCTACTAGCAGAGAAAGAAGTCATAGGGAGCTTCATCTGTCCCTTGCAGAAACAGGACAAGATTTCAGTTAGTGCTAACTTCAACCAGCACTAAGCTAAGGACTGACTGTCACCCTAGCCAGCACACCAAGGCTCCACTGGCTTGGGAGGACAGCCAGGTCCCCATGCTAACATCCTAGAGTTTAGAATGGCCACTAAGTGAGAATACAGCCTCCTCTTTATGGTGCAGACTGTGGCCTGTTTGGCATGCACATGCAGGGGAGTTATGGGGTGAGGAGCAGCCTCTGGAAAGGTGCTACCTTCTCCCACATAAAGTGTGGGTTCGGCTTTGACTCTGCCCCACAATGTACCAGACAGCCATGCCAGGGAATGTATTCTGTGCCAGATATAGGGTTGGTGCAGGGCATGTTCTTCCCCACCGGAGCAGGGGAAAAATCAGGAAGCAGATTGTGACTCCTGAGTCCTGGGCTGCACCATTGGTGGTTCTGCCCAATACACAGGCCTCGACAGTTTAGCCCTAAAGGAACATTCCTGAGACATCCTGCTGTGTGCTATCTGGATGGCCCTAGGAACTACTGCACTGCCAGCATCATTCCACCTCTTTGCCCCCAGCCTCTGGCACCTGCAAGGGCAGGATTAGGTCCGATGCCTTCTGAGGCACATGGGAAAGAGTGTGTCAGCCTCCCTAAGCTTTGGTTGTGGATGATGAAACAGCGGTAAGCTTAGTAATAATTGATACTCTATCGCTTCCGTTCACCCAGCAGCGCCTCTTGATTCTTGGGACGCTCCCATTGACATCAGTAGGAATGGACAAGCCAAGAGTTCAAAGAGTGTGAGTGCAGACGTCAAGAATTCCAAACATAGGGGCCTAAAGTTAAATACCTGAATCCATATTTAGGCATCTCGCTAAGAAGGCCTGACCTTTAGAGGTGCCGCTCCCATTGGCTTCTGTGGGAGTTGTGGGCATTCAGCGCCTTTGAAAATCAGGCCATGTTCATGACTGGATGGGCCTGCATGTCAGAGGAACTGAGAACACAGAGGTCCCATGACTTCAGTTAGAAACGGAGGCGTTCAGATTTCGAAAATCAGGCCCACCACGTTTCTAAATATGGATTTAAGTGTCTGACTTTAAGCACCCACATTTGACCTCAAAGAATTAACCAGCTACAGATCCACACCAGTTTCTCTGGGAAAGCCACAACATAATCTGTGCAGAGCCCTTTCAGACAGGAAAACATTTCTGTCTTTTGTGTCTTGTGAATTTGCTGTTGTATTTCTGAACCTTCCCTCCTCCCCCACTAGATTTCTGTCTGGACAGCTGTCTGCCCAATCACTTCACGGTGCTCCCACTGTCAAATTTCTGCTTCTTTCATTATCCTTCCACTCAGGAAAGAGAATTCTTTGGTAAGTCAGCAATAAGCGTATGTCCCCCAGAGCCAGTGTACACAACAGGCACTTTTTGCAGATAGCAGAAACTACAAGAGAATGTGAAATGCTTAATTTCTTGGTCAGACTTAATTATCATTAATGAAAACTGGTATAATTAGTCTTCAGATGCTGTATATAAATTAGCAATGAGCCCAATCCACACACAGCCTGATCCTGGAAAGCCCTTACCCAGGAGGTTAATATTTCATTACTCATGTGAGCAATCCCATTGCAGTCTATGGAACTACTTGCATAAGTTTGCATGATTTAAGGTTTGGGATTGGGCCCAGAGTTTCATCCAGATTTGGAGATGGATTCTCCAAAGTTCAGGGATGTTCACGTCAGGGCTTGGTTGGTTCCTAGCTCAGACATCCTGGTCTCAGCTAATCTACAGCAGGATTTTTTGACATGTAGTGATCATTAAAGAGTCTATGTTAAGTTCCGTTTTAAGTGAGGGGGGGAAAGGGGAGCCCAATCTCCATACGTGGGCACTTTAATACTATGTCCAAATGCCACATTTAGACACTCAGGTCAGCACTTACAGGAATTTACACGTGTAAGTGGTGATTCAAGTGTCCAGATACTGGATTTGTATGTCCAGATTCACATCCACTTTTGAAAACTGGACCGACCTGCTGTCTTTAATGTAGGAATGAGACCCATTCACCCTACCACCAAGGTTTCTTTCTTAGGAGTATAAAGACATTGATTTAAGTGGACTATATGCTGTGCATTTCCATATCGGACAGTAGGTATTTCCACAACAATATAGAGCTCGATCCTGCCAGAAAATGCCTCCACGCTGCAGATCCATAACATTTCCTGGGATACAACCATGAAAGTTATTTCTGAAGTAAGCCCTTCCTTAGTGGCAGAACAATGTCAGAGCAGCCTCTCTATGCTGCCTTCATCTCAGGGCGCAGAACTTTTTGCTAGGCCCAGTACAACTGCGACATGTAGCAACCAGGCTTTGGGGAATGATTAGGGGCATATCACTGAGCCTGTTAAGAGCCCCCACATCTATACCTAGGAATGGGGGTCTTCCTTTACTGCCTAAATGACTGTTATAATTCTGGGAGGGAAATTCAGAGAGAGACTCTGGTGATAAGGCAGCGTTCTCTCCTTGACTGACAGATCTCTTCAACCATGCAAGTCTGCCAGCAAAAGTGGGAAAAGAGGACGTATGGCCTGAAAACTTATCCCCTTCACAAACAAATCTACAGCCATCCAATCAGAGACCATAAAGAATATGTGACCTGTGTAACCAATCAAAATAGCATGAATTACAGATTCTCAATACTTACAAAGAAGGGTCAGTGACAAAAAAAATTGCTTCTTCTATTTCTCCTTCACTAGGAAGCTCGACTGGTTCCTCCAAGGTCTGAACCCAGAAACCAGAGCTTTCATCACCTCTTGGCTGGGTCACTAGCTCATTTTAAAGGTGGCAGTATTGCAGAGACTGCAGCTCAATCAAATCAGTATCTTAAATGTCTGTATACTAATGCAAGAAGTATGGGGAATAAGCAGGAAGAACTCAAAATGCTAGTAAATAAACATAACTATAACATAGTTGGCATCACGGAGACTTGGTGGGATAATACGCATGACTGGAATATTGGTATATCTTGCTCAGGAAGGATACGCAGGGGGAAAAGGGAGGAGGTGTTGCCTTATATATTAAAAATGTATACACTTGGACTGAGGTTGAGATAGAAATATGAGACAGACTTGTTGAAATTCTCTGGATAAGGATAAAAGGAGTAAAAAGCAAGGATGAAGTCATGGTAGGGGTCTATTACATACCACGAAACCAGGAAGAAGAGGTGGATTAGGCTTTTTTTAAACAATTAACAAAATCATCCAAAGCGCAGGACTTGGTGGTGATCATGGACTTCAACTACCCAGACATCTGTTGGGAAAATAACACAGCAGGGCACAGCTTATCCAACAAGTTCTTGGAATGTATTAGAGACAATTTTTAGAAAGCTAGTAAGGGGGGAGGCTGTTCTAGATTTGATTTTGACAAATAGGGAGGAACTGGTTGAGAATTTGAAAGTGGAAGGCAACATGGGTGAAAATGATCATGAAATGGTAGAGTTCACGATTCCAAGAAATGATAGGAGGGAGAACAGCACAATAAAGACAATGGATTTCAAGAAGGCAGACTTTAGCGAACTCAGGGAGTTGGTAGGTAAAATCCCATGGAAAGCAGTCTAAGGGGAAAAACAATTGAAGACAGTTGGCAGTTTTTCAAAGAGACATTATTAAGGGCACAAGAGCAAACCATCCCACTGTGTAATAAAGATAGGAAGTCTGGCAAGAGACCACCCTGGCTTAACAAGGAGATCTTCAATGATCTAAAACTCAAAAAAGAGTCCTACAAAAAGTGGAAACTTGGTCAAATTACAAAGGATCAATATAAACAAATGACACAAGTATGTAGGGACAAAATTAGAAAAGCCAAGGCACCAAACGAGATCAAACTGGCTAGGGACATAAAAGAAAACAAGAAAACATTCTACAAATACATTAGAAGCAAGAGAAGACCAAGGACAGAGTAGGCCCGTTACTCAATGAGGGGGGAAAGACAAAACAGAA